TTTTCAATTTAACAGGACTTCCAAGTGCACTATTACTCCTTTAGTAATAGGTGTCTGTAAATAAAGAATCCGTAGAAGAGAGAAGAGAAGAGAGGTATTTTGGTATCTGATAGAGACTTTTTAGCTTTCCACCAGAAGGCACCAAAATGTTACAAGTGAACTATAGCCTTCTTTATAATATAGTACTTGCAATACAGCACACGGTAATAGGGATTTATGTAGGGTCAAAATAGATATGAAGCAGTGTGGAAGTGGAATATTACTTCACTAAGGTGATTCGGTATAGTTTCGGTAAAAGCAAGAGATATGTTTATTAAGATATATTTATTGGATTATGTCAAATATAGCAGGTTGCGATTTCGCTAATGCGATATCGCAGAATACTTTTGTTATACAAATTAGAGATTAAATTATCATGCAAACAATGGATTGGTTGCATTGATATTTTATAATACATAATATATAGCGATAGTAAATAATTATGTAATAAATACGTAGTGTGTAATAAATTAAAGAGATCATATAAAAATAGTTAGAAACTTAGAAACCCATTTTACATCTTTATACATTTCTTAGATCAAGCACCTGTTTTATATCTTTATACATTTCTTAGATCAAGCGCTGTTATTTTTAGCATAAATCATCGTCTCTAAGTCATTATAATAAGCCTTTGAAATGTCAAACGATATTCTGGGACCTTTACCTTTCAATTCATGTGCTGCTATATATAACGAAGATGTTGATAGTAAATTAGAGCTTGCTTTTTAGCAAAAATGTTGAGTTAAGCTAGTCAGATCGTTGATTTTTTTTTCCTAGTAATTCATACGTTTTCAAGTCACTGTGATAAACCTGCGACTATGTCAAATGATATTTTGGGACCTTTGTCCTTCGATTCATGTGCTTCAACATATGGTAAAGAAGATAAATTAATGTTTGCTTTTAGCAAAACATTTAAGAAGTCAGTTAAATTTTTTTTTTTTTCTAGTAATCTATATGTCTTCAAGTCGCTGTGATAAACCTATACCTATGTCAAATGATAATTTGGGACCTTCACTTTTCGATCCTTGTACATATGAGGAAGAAGAAAGTAAATTAGTGCTTGTCTTTTAGCAAAACATTTGATTAGGAATAAAGATGTTGGTAAAGTAATTTCACCACTATTGGTGAAATTGAGGTTAAATTGTTGAAATTTTTTTTTTTCTAGTAATATTTTTAAGTCGCAGTAATAAACCCATAACCACTACAAATAATATTTCAGAACCTTCGTTTTTTGATTCATATGCTTATACATATAATAAAGGAGAATATGATAATTTAGTACTTTCTTTTGCAAAAAACTAAATTAAGAAATCAGTTAGTAATCACTATTTTTTTTTCTAGTAAACCTTACGTCTACAAGTTGCAACAATAAACCCGTGACTATCACAAATAATATAGAATCTTCGCTTTTTGATTCATATGCTTATACATATAGTGAAGATGGTAAATTAGCACTTTTTTTTTTTAGAAAACATTGAGTTAAGAAGTTGGTTAATAATCACTGTTTTTTTTACTAGTAAATCATATGCCTCCAAGTTGCAGTGATAAACCCATGACTATATCAAATGATATTTTGGAATCTTTGCTTTTTAATTCATATACTTATACATATGGTGAAGGAGATAGTAAATTAGCACTTACTTGTAATTTTTTAGTATTTTTGTATCAATTGATTTTATCGATCTTTCTTTAACTAATTATCTAACTAAAAGATCATGTGTATGTGGTGCAAGAGCAATATTGTGATAACTAAGCATTAGCAAAAAAAATAGACCGATGTATATCAATTACTAGCCGGGTAATTATATATTGATACCAATTACCCCTGCCAATTACACATGATCGTAATAGTAATCGATATATAGCGAATTCGTTTATTAGCGGTAATACTAAATATCACTATATATCTGATTTGATTAATAGCGATATTTGATAACATTCAATTATAATCATGCTACTGATTTCTAATGATTACGATAAATAGTGAAATTTATTGTAGTTA